CGACTACTGACTGTTATTGCAATATTTTTTGATGAAGCTTGGGCGTTACTGCTTATAACACTTATTTGCAATGTTTTTTGTAATAAAAAAAATCACTCGTGAGTTATGACAGCGAATTACTGTCACTCTTCTTATCTGCGTTTCACGGGGGACCCTAGTGAAGGAGTAGATACTCCGCGACTTGTCGTAATGATTCATACCGTGGATGGATTTTTGCTGAGAGGGGGGGGGGGGAAGGGCTTGACCCAGATTCCGAACAATAGTTGATATACAAGAAACATTGATTGAATTAAACCATTTAAGTTTGCTCGCATACTGAGTAAGCATATTTACATGATGGTAATTTATATCATTTTTATAATTCAATTTGTTTGCATTTCGAACGTATCCATCCCACCATTATGGATCTGCGTATTCACGTATTTTGTAAGCGAGTCTCGATGATGATCTGTTTTTTTTTCATAATCTGATGATCTGTTTTTTTTCATAATCTGATGATCCGTTTTTTTCCATTCAATTTTCAACATCATCATCCTTTAGTTTGCTAATCTTCTTAATTTCATCGGTTGATTACTTGCTCAATAAGCGCCGTCAGCACCAACGATGCTAGTCGCAATAACAATGATAACAAGTATGAGAATTTCAGTATTTGACATGGTTTGCACGTACTGTGATTTGTACGAAAGGAAATCTGAACGCATAGGAGAAACGGAATGAATTGATTATGTAGAAAGTAGTTGAAAAAAAAAAGCAGCAATAAGTTACGAATTGAAGTAATCATTTGGCTCGGTTGAACAATAACTTGAAATTGACGTGTCCCACATTTTTTGGATCAGTTATTTGAGTAAAAAGACATTCATTTAAGAAAGCAAGCAACAACAGTAATAATTGTCAACTTCCCTTTCAGCCGTTGCATGGTCCTTTTCGAAGAATATTTATTGCTGTTATGCACATTTATGTGCTAAAGCTCTTAAGCGGTCGTCTTTCAAATGTGATGTGATGTAAATGTGTAATTGTTTCGCAAGTTTCAGACGGGATTTATTCTGTTTCCGAGATATTTTCATGTATGTATTCACTTTTGGATATATGCACAAGTATATTATGCATATGAATATACTCGTAGATAATGCTCAGTACACTAAGATGATATATTAGGCAAGGAGGCAGTAGAGACAGACGAATGTATATAAATATATATGTATATACATAGATAGCATTCGTGCTAATGCATCCTGAAGAATGTTTACGTTATGTTAAATTGCTCCATATAAAGAAAGGACTTGAAGCAAGAGCAGGAGTACGAGCATAAGCAGGACCGTTGTGAGCAGGAATTGGAGGCATGCATTCGTATCTGTCTATGTATGTGTTGTTTCTTTAGAGAATGTATTACTAAACTGGCTAGAGTAGAGCAATGAAACACAACAGGATGAGTGCTGTTATTCTTCTGGGTATATTCTGAATGGATTGGAGAGCATAAGTATACGATCCTCCAAGTATCTGCACAGCATATGAATGAAAAGGACTAGGAGAAATGAATGAACAGCATGGCAGCTGCTTGGTAGGATTCATTTATTAGTTAGGATACACGATGTATACACATTTTATGGGGATGATTGAACATGAGTAAAAGTATGAATTAGCACGGCGAATGAATTAGGGGCATTGTGATTATGTGTGTATATATAGAGTGTTTTTGGGTTTTGTTATTGCTTTGTTGCTATTATTGTGGTTATTCCGATAATTTTGATTTGTTTTGATGAGTAAGTGACTGAAGTGACATGGCTGTGTGTTGATGATATGATGATCATAATAATGATTTTGTTTTCGACGAGAAGAGAAGAGAGCAGAGGAAAGAATCTGAGATGTTGAATAAAGCATGAAGTGAATCGAATGAATAAGTGAATAAAATACAAGGTAGATGAATGAATAGAAACGAGTAGCACTGATTTGAACTGAAACTTTTTCAAAGAGCTGAATGCAAGTGGTCTGTCAACCCAGCCACCTAACTACAACACTAAAATGGGTATTAACTGAACATTTTAGCCACATTGTTGGTGTTGACGATGAATGAGAGTTTCTAAAGATTAACTTAAGCTACTTGGCTGCTGTTGTTGTTAGTCTATTTGTACTTGGGTTGTAGTTTTTGCATAGAGACTACTCGGCCTGTCGGTACCATGACGAGTGCATTTTATAGCTTAGCTACTTACTTATCTTCTAGTGCGGCCTACTTAAGCTATCTATTCCTTTTGTTAGGAGACTACGATGATAGTTAAACATAGTTCATTCATTGAAGCAATAGCAACAGCAGTGAAAGCAGTATTCTTCATGCATTTTTGAATAATCAGTTTCTGCCTTCTATTCAGTCGTTCATCCATCCATCCATCCATCCATTCATCCATCCATCCATCCATCCATCCATCCATCCATCCATCCATCCATCCATCCATCCATCCATCCATCC